GAACTGTATTTGGCCAAGTGTACTTTCACAAGATTGTGTGAACCATGAAAATGCTCGCATAGAATGCACAGATTCACATCCCAGGACCCATAATCTCTGTTGGTTGTTCAACCCAGGATATATTCAGTCCACGTAAGTTGTTTGCCAGGCATTTTCCAGACAGTCCTCACTAGCAGCAAACAAACATGGTCTACAAGAGCACATCATGGGGATGCCTAGTGCCCACCTTCTGCATCAGAATAACGGACTCCAAGTCTGTGCCCTCCTTCAGGGCGTCTGCGGCCTTAGCAGCCAGTTCTGAATTTGCCAGCACCACCAGAGCACTGTTGGTTTGCTTGCGCTTCTTCTTCGACTTTGTTGCCAAGGCCTCACGCATCACCACTGCAGTCACTGGCCCAAAAGCACTGAACAGCTCCCTGAGGGTCTGCTCCGTTTCATCTTGTTTGCCTCTGTTCCATGTCACTTTCACGATCTGCGAGAGTTCAGGGACGTGAGAATGGCATCCTCGCCTCCCTGTTGGCACAGATCCACTCCCTTATAATCTGGCCCCCCAAAGCTCTGATACAAAAGCATTGTGTACACTCAAGCATATCTGGACCAAAACTGTCATGCAGCATGGTTGGGTTGGAGAGATAGCAGTTGTGATCAGAAAATGGCCTAGGCTTTAGACAAATCTGAAGGAATGGATACCTGCATGACTTACAGAGCAACCCTTGTGATGGTCAAGAAGGCAAGCGATCTTGCCATGCACATACAAGTTGTGGATGACCACAAGCAACTGCCCACTCCCAAAGCATATTTGAATCCTTTTCTTTCTTCTGAAATGGTGCATGTGCTAAATTAGTAGCTTCTTGAGATATGATCTTGTGGACAACTTGGACAACTCTGAGGATGCAGCAATACCCTCCAAATCATGCCTCACAGCAGCAGTTGAAAATCTGTCAAACATGGTGGGGCTTGCTGGTAGCAACATTTCATCCAAAGAAGGTAAAACGGTGCATCTGTGGGTATGCTTCACTCCAACTGAAGAAGATGAATCACAGCTCCTCTCAGTCCATGGGACAATGCGGGCAAGGATGTAAGCAAAGATCTTTACAAGGTAAACTATTCCATCGCAGATGCAGACTGTGCTGTCATGACTATGTGACTGACTTGAGTCCACAGGTTTCTTGCTACAAGCAACTGACGCATGGTCTAACAACAATGCTGCGATTTTCATTGCCAGCAACCATACCTCTTCCTCCAGCTGGTTCCCCAGTGGACCTCCACTCTTTCGTATCTTGCTGCTGTTGCTGTTGCACCTGCTGCTGCTGCCGCTGCTGCTGCTTCGCAATCTGCTCATCCTCCATTTTCTTTCTCAACCGCTGCAGTTCTACCTGCCCGCCACATACAATGAGCCCAGAGGTCACACATGACAGCTTCTGAAGCAAACTGCTTGGACTGCTGTGCACTCAAGACTTCGCATGTTCTTGCCTTCAAGCGTTCTCTTGCTCGCTCCTCCTCGGTTCTTTCCTCAGCTGCCTGCCGTTCTTTCACCTCCAATTCTTCCATCATTCGCCTGCGTTTCTCACTGTGGTGAGACAGGCGTTCTTCACGTTGTGCTTTGGCCCTGGCAGGGAACATATGAATCCATCGGTCAGCCACACATGCCAAACCAGCTGGCTGCTGAATGAGGTGCCCCAAATCAAGCAAGCCTTCTATTGCATTCTCTCCTCAACAGTGATCAGATACTATTGTTTGGGAGTGAGGTGGCATAATTTGTAAACTGATGTGAGAAATTGGTGCAGAACCTGCGGTCAGGTCACTATACCTGAGTAGGTCATCGAAAGCGAGCCGGGCATCCTTGTCTGATAGCAGCTCATATGCCTTGTTCAATAGCAGGAAAGCTGCACAGATCACAAAAAGCACTCTCAAGAATCACAGGCCCAACCCACTGTATCAATGGCAGTTGGTAGGTTTCTCGACTACAGTATTTGCTACCTGTTATTTCAGTGGCAGCAATTGTGTCTGTCCCTATTGCACACAGTATTGAGACACTGCACAGAAATGACAGACACCGTGGGTGGTACTTCAAGACAAGGGCAAAAAAGCACCAGGCTTCACACCATCTTCTTGAGCCCTTGCGAAAAGGTGCATCACAACAAATGTGCAAACGTGTAGTGGGAGGTAGTGCTGTGTTCCCAGAACGAAAATTATGACAAAAATTGAAGTCAACATGCCAAACCAATGGCGTACACCAATTGCATCACTCCTTCCCTGTCAACACGTGCAATCTGATCTTGCACACAATCAAAACACTCATAACGCGAAGCTGTTGTTCTTCCAGGGGAAGAAAGGCTGCCATTCGCACACCTGCCTATATGAGCAACCTGTTGATCATGTATAGAGCCAACTCTCAACACAGGTGTCGTTGTTGCTAAAATGTGGCCAAACAAACTGCATTCCTGTTAACATCACCTCCATTAGGCAACTGGAGCGAATGCCTGGCTTTCGGTCGATAATGGCATCTATATCTCCGCTTCAAAAGAGGTCTTCGTGGTACAGGAGCAGCACATCAGGGCTGCCCCAGCCTTGCCGAAAGCTGCTGGGACAAGCTGGCCCATTGGTCTGGAAAAGCAACAGATGCGCCGGTGCGATGGAGGGCACCTCACGCCAGCAAAATTTCGGTGGGCTCCTCCCGCAGCAACCTCGCGAACAGCGCACGCGAGCCTATGCGCTTCCAACGCACAAGTCCGCGCCGTCGGTTCAGGTCCGTACGTCCGCGCCCAGCCACACAGTTCAAAACCACCGGTGTGCTGCTCCCCTCGCAGAGAGCCGCAACCCCACAGTTGCATGCATTCTGAGGCCCCTCGACTCTTCACGAGTGTGCCGAGAGCGTCCTGGCAGCAACGAGGAAGCGAAGCCCTACCACACGCCTTGTACCCGATCGGCCCCTGCACGCTGCTCATATCAACAGATGGGCTGCCTTACGACGCCCCCGGGCACCTTCAACGAAGCGCATTGACCCCAGATCCGCACACCTTGAAGGTGAGACAAAAGCGCCAAGGCGGCGAGCGCTGCAGCCCGAATGCCCGCAAGACAGCTTTCAAAGCTGCCGTGAACGCCAGCCGTCCATTCGGGTTCCATTGCCTCCACTGCCCCCCAAGAGGACCATTCCCGCATGCAGTATTTCAATGCGAGGCACCGCACCCCGCGCAGGAGCTCATGCACTCACCCGCCGGATCCGCCTCAGGATTCTTGTCCGGGTGCTGCCTCAGCGCGAGCGTCCTGTAGGCCTGCGCGAGTGGACAGCCCGCCGATCAGAGCCGTCGCAAAGCCCACGGAGGGAGATCAGCCGCCGCCCTGCGTCGGAAGCGGCGGCACAGATAGCGCCCGCGCCGCCAGCCCAGAATCCTCGCCAACGTTTCCGGCAGTTCATGGCCGCTGCGGCATCATCCGCTGGGACTCCCGCCACAGCACCTTGCGGATCTCCTGCTCCGGCGTGTCGGGGCCTCTGGGCAGCCCCAGGATCTCGTAGGGGTTCTTGTCCTCGCACCACATGGCCACCAGCGGCGCCGCGGCCCGCGGCGTGGAGCGGGGCCCGGGCACCTCGTGTGCAGGGTTTGCGACCCTGCGGGCTGCACAACCCAGGACATCCTGGCAGGCACTTAAAGTACTGATCTTCACACCGACCCGCAGATACGGTGGCATACGGCGTCATTCTCACGTAACCGCACGGCCACGCGTTCGTACGCTTTCCCGACCGCTGCGTCCCTCGACCGACCGACTCACAAAATGAACCTAAGTCTTGACCTAAAACCGTAACCTAAAAGGCGGCCGCCCGTGTCCGCCCCTTGGGGCTGACGCCAGGCGCCAAACTGGCGCCGCACCTTTGGCCCCCCCGCGGCTGCCTTGCTCTGCCCCAGCCCCTTGGTCGCAGAGCTCCGAGCGCTTATGGAGGCTGCCGAGGCGCCAGAAGTCGCCCCAATGGATGCCCAACCTTCTCCGTGCCCCCATCCCTCCGCAGAGGCCACAGGGTCTCAGGCGCAGAACGCCGACGGTGGCCCGCCGGCAGACGACCAGACGAGCGCGGATTACTACTTCGATTCGTATTCCCACTTCGGGATCCATGAGGAGATGCTGAAGGACAGGGTGCGCACGCGCGGCTACATGCACGCCATCGTCAACAACCCGCATCTTTTCAAGGGGAAGACCGTGCTGGACGTGGGCTGCGGCACGGGCATACTGTCGCTGTTCTGCGCTAAGGCGGGTGCGTCCCGGGTGTATGGGATCGAGTGCTCGGCCATCGCCGACCAGGCGGTGAGGGTGGTGGCGGACAACGGCTTCTCGGACGTGGTGACGATCGTCAAGGGGAAGGTGGAGGAGGTGGAGCTGCCGTGCGCCCAGGTGGATGTGATCGTGTCCGAATGGATGGGGTACTTCTTGTTCTACGAGAGCATGCTGGACACGGTGATCTATGCGCGGGACAAGTGGCTGGCGCCCGGGGGTGTGCTGATGCCCGACCGGGCCACGCTGTGCCTGGTGGCGATCGAGGACGGGGACTACAAGCACGAGAAGATCGACTTTTGGCAGAACGTGTACGGGTTCGACATGCGGTGCATACGGGAGCTGGCGATCCTGGAGCCGCTGGTGGACACTGTGGAGCCGGAGCAGGTGAACACCTCGACCTGCAGGGTGCGGGAGGTGGACCTGCACACGATTCAGAAGGGGGAGGTGGAGTTCTCGGCGCCCTTCCAGGTGACGGCCAGCCGGAATGACTACGTGCACGCCCTTGTGGCGTACTTCGACGTCGCCTTCACCGCGTGCCACAAGCCCGTGGTGATCAGCACGTCGCCCAAGATGAGCCCCACCCACTGGAAGCAGGCGGTCTTCTACCTGGAGGACACCATCATGATCAGCCAGGGGGAAGCGATCGGCGGCACATTGACCTGCAATCAGAACCAGAAGAACAAGCGGGACCTCGACGTGAAGGTGGAGTACCACTTCAGGGGAAAGCACGGCGCGTGCGAGCGCACGCAGCACTACAAGATTCGGTAGCTCCGCTGGTGGCTCGGGGAGGCGGGGATTGCGAATTCATGGCGTTTTGCCGGCATTGCGTGGTGCAGGGAGGGGCTTCAATGGGCAGAGAGCGCCAGGGATGCGATCTTGTAGGAGGGCGAAGAGCCCGCAGACAAGCACTCAAGCGGTACGGTAGCTGGTGGCTGGTTCCGTTCGCAATGGTCAACAATGGAGCCAGAAGGTCAGGGCAAGTTGACACTTGGTTTTGGTTCGATAGTGGGATGTAGGTGGCCCTGGGTGGCCCGTCAGAGATTGCCACAGCATCGCTGACTAAAGGCCTTGTTCCGGGTCGTGGCTGCACTGCACTCTTCCCGTTGTTTGTTTTGTGCAGGAATTGGGACTCTCAATGGAGGGTGACAAGGGAGACTGGGCAGTTTGGTGAGCGCGCTGCACAGTGCAAACAGGTGCTCATGCTCAGGGGAGAAGAACGTTTGTTGCTGTTTGGTAACTGGACCCTGCGCTTGTTTGAATATGGCAAAGAGTTGTGGGTTGCGAATTGAATGAAGACGCACAAGGGATGAGGAGACTTGATTCATTGATTGTTTGAAAAGTGTAGGAATTTTCTCTCTTGCCCCGAAACCGTCGTTGCTTCAGGTGGCAGATTGGAGCCCTTGCTCTGACCTCAAGGGGGGCAAAATGCAATAAAGTGGCATTGCATATGATTTGCCAGCGAAAACAAACGTCGGCAAGGTCACTGGCTGGTAGGAATGCGATGAATATTGACAAAACTCTGTCATCCAAACAGAATCTGTGCAGGAAGTAAGTTTCGTTGCCTCTGGTACTTGTTGCATTGGCCTTCACTTGCTCACTTTCCAGACTTCGGCACTGTAACATGCCTTCCCCATCCCACCCACTCATCCAACCAGTCATTCAGTACCCTGTCAGTCCATATCCGCATCTGTTGCTTCTTCACATGTGTTCCCCTTTCTTTCCTCACATCCATTCTTCCGGCCACCTCCAGCTCCTTGGCGATTGTGCCATCGTCGTCGCACACCGTCAGTCTATATTTCCCAAACCCCAGCCATCGCCTTACAATCTTGATTCTTGTGCCTCTCATTCTCCAAGTCTTCCCTGACACCATTCCAGTCCAAGCAGCATGTCAGGCTCTGGCAGGTGTGCATCATCCAAAACTTCATTGTCTGCTCTCCCTAAACTGGAAGACAGTTGGAGTAGTTTTCTTCACATTGGCCAGTTCCGAAATGTTTGTTGTTCTCAAACCGTGAACATAGTTGCTCGGAATTTGCTTTGGTGGAATAATAGCTATTGGTTCAAGGAAGCAACATGAATAGACCAGCAGTCCAAAGTGCCCTGAGAGGCCACATTTGTCCAGGATATCACGGCCTTCACGTTTTAAGGCATATTTGCTTGGATAGAAGACTGGGAGTACATCAGCTGAATTTCTGATGGAAAAATACCCGTACTGATATGAAGCAATGCACTGAGATGTGTTCAATTCGCTGAACAAAGCAGCCAAAGAATCGCCATTGTAATGGACAACAGTAACGTGTCGAGCTGTTCTGGCACCTGGGACTGAGGGAATGCATTTTGGTGATTTTTTAACATTCAGCATCAAATTGAAGGCAACCTCAGATCCCACCCCCGACATCATATTTTTACAGTATGCAACAGAGTCCAGTGCACATTGGCACAGGTGAGGATGCCCGTTGTTGTGCCCAAAATTCTCCCAGTGAGCAACACAACCTACACCTTTCCCTTCCCTCCCCTTTCCCTTTCCCTCCCCTTTCCCTTTCCCTCCCCTTCCATTTGCGTCAAATTGACACTGTGTGCAGCAAAATTGACATAGTGTGTTGTTTAAATGGAAAAAATACAACTGAATATGCTAGTAATTTTCCGTAATCTGACGAATTTGCAGCCATTGCAGTTTCTGGAGATATATTGATTGAGGCTGCCAAATTTCATCATGTCCGAAGCCTTTGAATGCCTAAGGCCACCCTCAACTGTGTTTTGAAGCACGCCATGGACTGGCTAAGGTTATTGTTGATAGCTGGGATCCAGAGTTGTCAGTTGTTGCTGGCTGGTGGGGTTTCGGTTATTGAGGGCATTCATGTGGATGTCGACCTCGTACCATTCCGAAACTGGTGGCCAGTCCAAGGTCATCCTCCACACATTCAGAGATTTGTCACACTCTGTGTGTGAGGAGCAGCCCTATTCTTGGCATCGAAGGCCCACATTGGCAGAATTCTCAGATTGCAATCGTGTTATCTGAGCTTATACATCTAAGCGTATTGTTGTCTGCATGAATGCAATTAACGCAAGTACCGGTTGTGGTTTGCGGATCTTGAAGTTCAACCAGCATGCTTCGATCTCGTCTGCACTTATTGTTGTTTTTTTTCCCTGTCTGTGTGTGTGACTTGCGCGCATATGTGCTGGTCTAGGCCGTTTGCCCTATCAAACTGTGAACTATTCTGGTACGTCCATCCAGTGAGTGTGGCAAGCAAAAGTCCAATGTGCTGATTTCGGCGAGTCTACGCCAAGATGGCGCCCATGGAAGGGCCACAAGGGTCACAACACACAATCAAAATGTCGCAAAACACGCAAACTGCAGCAGGAGGGCGTGCACCGAGAAGCTGCGAAATTTGCTGCTGCTTCGGAGCAGGCGCAATGACGAAGCGGGGCCGAATTCCATGTTCAGGAAATGCACACCACTCACGTTCAATTGCCGACAGCCACACTTCCACCGCCTCGCCATGCGCGTCGCCCCGTTCGCCGCTCGCTCCACGATGGCCTTGGCCTTCGGAACGGCGGGCAGCTCCGCGCAGACAGACCGCTTGGGCACCGCCGTCGTGGGGCGGCTGTTCTGCCGCTGCGCCGGGCGCCAACACCGCGGCGATCAGGCCCCATCTGCGCCTTGGGCCCGTTGCCCCCAATGGCCCGCGGCTGGGACGTCTGGCTCTCGGCTTGGGCTCCCTGATCTGGAGTTTGTCGGGGGAGCGCCCGAGGCCCGCAGCCGCCTGGTGGCGTCGTCGAGCGCAGACCAGGTGGTCACGGAGGCCGGCGCAAATGGGGCCCAGGCGACGGTTGGCAGGACGCCATTCACGCCCAGGCCGCTCATCAAGGACATCAAGGTGCGTGCGCTGGCTGCCTGGAGTCGGGGCTCTTCTCGCTTCCCGATAAGCTGCAGTCGCAGTGTTGAGCGACGTTCTGTGTAGGGATGGATCTGCTACTGCAACGGACAGTTGGTTTGGTTGAATTGTCGATTCGCATGCAAAGGAGGAATAGATCAGACAGCGAACAGCCCTTCCTTGCCCATGTTTGAAACGTAATTCCGTGTCAGTGATCCTTTGGTGTGCATCAAATGACCTTGGTGTGCTTCAAATGACTTTGTGGAATTGGACTGCCCTGCAATGGTAGCCACAGATTCGTTTGGGACATACTGGTGAGATAATCTTGACCATGGGAAAGCACCACACCTGCCTTGACGTTCAGCGGCCATCTAATCTCTCTGTAGCAAAGATTTACCGCTTTGCCGACAGGGAGGCGCGGACGGAGGGTTGTCAAATGTGGGCCAGACATTCACAGTGTCTGGCTGGGTGCGGACTGTGAGGAGCCAGAAGTCATTCGCCTTCATTGAGGTATGGAGGCTGTAAGCTGAGTCAGGAATGGCAAATGGTTGCTCTGGGCAATGCATGTCATGTGCAAATGCTCAAAGGGGATGTTTGCACCAGCAATGGCTGTGACAAGCCCGCAGGCAACTGAGCCATTCAGCGATGTCTGTTGTACTACATACTGCCATACAACCACCCACCCATACACATAAATTTATTTGCTTTCCATCTTTGGCTTTCTTTCCAGGTAGATAGTACAGGCACATGCTTGATGCATATTATCCGAGTCTATGGGCAGATTTTGGAAACTATTCTGGCACTGGATAGTGACATACTTTGTGGTGTTGAGACTCCCTGTTGTCCGGCCAGCAAACACAATAATACCTTCATGATCATCCAACAATCTTGAGCAGGTGTTCTGCGATGGCCATGTGCCAGTCTGCCCATGATCTTTTGTGCTTGGGCAGAAGCAAATGTCCCCTTAATTTCAATGATTGGTCTGGGAGGGCAGATTTGTTGTTGTGTTATTCACAGTATGCCCTCATCGCAGCATTAGCACATCAAACTAAAGCATTAGGCTAACATAGCGGTTGGACAGCATTGGCACAATCCATCTTGTTGCTGGGTAAGCAGTGATTCTCAAGTTCAGAGACAAATCATTTGTAAGAAACCTGTGGGCCTAGGAACTTGCACCATTTTAACTGCAAAGATGCTGTCGAAGTTGTCAGATACAAAATAGTGACAGGTAACAGGGAGCACACACCTTGCCTGTTCCAGACATAGCTCGGTGGTGATGTTTGTGATTGTGAGTTTGAGCTTGACATGCCAAGCCTATGGATAACACTACCTTTGTTCTTGACCTTAAAACATTGGGCATTGACTCTCTCCAGGTCAGTGATGGCTCAACACTGGCTGGGCTTCAAGTTGTGTTGGACCCAAAGACGACTGAAGGGTACAGTCTTGTGGAAGAATCCCAAATACACACAGGGGCAGCTGTTAGAGCAATGGGTGAACTGGTTGCATCACCAGGGGGAAAGCAAAAGGTGAGTTTTTTTTTACCATGTGTGGCTGTCATTAATTGCAGCTGTCAATGATTACAGAACACACACACATGCACACACACACACACGTTTTAAACAGTGTACTGTAATGTGTGCTTCCACACTCTATTTTCCAAGCTAACCAAACATGCTCTAACCCTCAAGGGATGAAAAGTAAATCTGGCTTCTTTGTTTGTGATGGAGAAGGAAGTGTTGAGAAGCAGTTGTGGTGCCGAGTTGTCCTGGAACATGGCCACCATACCTGTAGTCATTTGATGATGGCTACTTGCCATATTGCTTGCAGGTTCACAGTGCCGTAGTCATTGCTGGTGCGATCCTCTGTACTGCACATCAAACTTTTGTTGTTGTACAGCATGCATTTGTATGTGGCTGGCATCCTTGACATGTGGTGGGTGTGTTCACTGAATTGAACGTGAGGAGTGGATTATACGTCAGTACATTGCATACAATATGTAGACATGCAGTCCTTAGAGAGTTCCTGTTGATTGTATTTACCTGCACAGGGCAAAGACAATGTGTGTATGACCTGCTATGCCTCTGGTATGTAATCCATCACATCTTCACCACATCATTTGGGTGTCTAACTGCCAGGCAACGACTGCTGCATTCACATTCACAGTGATTGTTCCAGGTAGAAATACAGGCAATATCCCTGACATTGCTGGGGCCCTGCGATCCTGGGACTTACCCATTGCAGAAGAAGCGCCACACGCTCGAATTCCTCAGAGGTATCGCTCACCTGCGTCCCAGGACAAACACGATTGGGGCAGTCATGAGGGTCAGGAGTGCACTGGCCATGGCCACCCACACATTCTTTCAATCGCAAGGATTCCAACTGCTCCACACTCCTGTTGTGTCCGCCTCCGACTGTGAAGGTGCAGGGGAAATGCTCCAGGTGATGATGGAAGGCACATTGGCTTTGGCACTATTAGATCTGAATGCACAGGCTTTTACATCTGGCACTGGTTCTTGCAGCACAATGAGTGTATGGGTGAGAGACCAAGGCTTGCTGTTCATCAGCCTCGAGACTCCAATCTATGATTTGGATTTATTAGAGCTACAAAATATGCAGGCTTCCCACCACTTGAAGAGATGCTTCAGTTTCTGCTGCATGACCAGAATGCAGTCACATCAGGTACTGGTCATGAGTCAGAGCTGGAGCTAAAGCTTCCTTTTGCGATTGGACTGCCAATGCCCAGCCCGTACTGAGGCACATCCATCACACAATGCTCTCCTCATGTGGCGCAGGTTACTACGATGATGAGCACAGCCATGCGTGGTGGCAGTGCCGATGCAAAGGCAGCAGCCAACGTTGTGAAAACTGACCAGGTGCGGGACAACAGAGCTGTTGATTATGAAACGATGAGATTGCCTTTTCTTGATGTGTGGCAACCTGTTTTGGTGGCATCAACATACACATGGCATGCCATGCAAATAGCGAAGAAGGAATCCCATCTGCCTGTTCTCCACGTTGCAGTGCTGCAAGTTGGCGAAGGCAGATACAGTTTGTTTGCTTTTAATTGGGTGCCTGAGTGGGCAACTGACAGGTGCCCATTGCCTGTCATTTCATGTCCTCTGGCTTGCATAAATGAAGTGCATGGGTGAATAAGCAGCCGATTTTTATTGGTGTGATGTCCTCCAAAGTAATTTTGAAGATTGTTTTCCATCAATGTTTGGTGTGCTGCACTCTCACCCTGGATGTATTCTTCTCCAATTGCCTTGTGACTGACATGCTCAGGATGGGCCATCATTCCCCTTACAGCAAGAATGGGTGTCGCGTATTTCACTGGAGACACCATGTAGAATTACTTGACTCCAGGATGTGTGTGTGTGCAGACAGGTCCTGGCCCTTCCCTGCCTGTAGACGAGTCTGGTGGCATTGACCACTCTGAAGACTTCTTTGGGCGTCCCACCTTCCTCACAGTGTCAGGCCAGCTGAATGCAGAGGCGTACGCTTGTGCGCTGGGTCGGGTGTACACATTTGGTCCAACATTCCGTGCGGAGAACTCCAACACCTCCCGCCATCTGGCTGAGTTCTGGATGATTGAACCTGAGATTGCTTTCGCTGACCTTGACGAGGACATATCGTGGGCTGAGGCATATGTCAAGCACTGCCTCCAGCATGTTTTGGAGACCTGCAGTGAAGATCTGGAGTTGTTTGAGAAGTTTTATCAGAAGGGCCTGACGAATAGACTACAGGTATGTGACACTTCTCATACTGCAGTTGCCTATGTGTCGGCATTGAAAGAAAGTTTCTAGAGAGTTGTTGTAGTTTACATGTTTTGAGGAGCCAAAATGCAGACATGATTCATGTCTCAACTGAAAGGTAAGCCTGGATGCTGGCCGCAGGACTGTGCTCCAACTGTTTTGCCATCTGCAGTTTGACCTTGATCATAGTGACTATGTGGCCACCTGACCATGAACTGCATCGTTGGCACAGAGGCTGTCAAGCACACCTTTTGTACGCATCACATACACAGAGGCTGTCGACGTTTTGGCAAAGTCTGAGAAGGCCTTCGAGTTCCCCGTCACCTGGGGGGCAGATCTTCAGAGCGAGCACGAGCGGTATCTCACTGAGGTGGCGTATGAAGGGATTCCTGTATTTGTCACAAACTACCCAAAGGACATCAAAGCGTTCTACATGAAGCTCAACGAAGATGGACAGACTGTGGCTGCAGCTGACATGCTGGTGCCAGGGTATGTCTCTGTGCTGCAAAGAAAGTAGTCCATGGCATAAATCCTCAGTTACTGAAGTTGGCAACTCACTGCCTTTCACCTACTAAAACACTGTGGCATCAACTGAGAATGTCAGTTGTTGTTGTGTTGGCAGTGTGCCTGTTGGCAGTTTCCGAATTGGTTCATTACTCATAGAGAGACCCTGTGTGTCCATGCTCTTCGTCCCTTTCAGTGAAGGATACTCTTCCTATGCATAACGCACATCACATGGTTACAGATTGTCTGTTCGTTGAGATGAACAAGCCTGTAAGGGTGTGGTGGAGGGATATGGGCTATGCCTAATGTGTGCTCCTTTGTCTGGAACCATTGGCAATACACTGCTGTGGCTCTGCAGGAGAATTAAATTGCGTTGACTGCAGGTTGTTTTGTCTTGAAATTTCATTTCTGGCTTGGAACAACCTCTCCAATATGGGGAGGTGCCAAGGAATTGACGTTCTGCCAAATGTCGGCATCAATATCAAAATCTGCTGTGACCTCAACTTGTGAATGAATTCTTGTGAATGTTTAACTCTTTTTAGAATCATCGCACAGTCACTGCATTGGTCATATGATGGCATGACATTGTGCATTCACGTTGTCGAAAGGTGATGCAGTGCCCTATGCAGAGATGATTGCACTTTTTCACCTGCACTTTTTGCCAGCTAAGATCATCATTGCATGCAACAGGGTTGGGGAACTGATTGGAGGCAGTCAGAGGGAAGACCGAGTCGAGGTATTGGAAAGGAGAATGAAGGAGTGTGGCCTGAACTGCGAGGAGTACTGGTGGTACATGGACTTGAGAAGATATGGCTCAGTCCCGCATGCGGGTTTTGGTCTTGGTTTCGAGAGGTTCGTTCAGTTCGTGACTGGGATGGAGAACATTAGGGACGTCATCCCTTTCCCTAGGTATCCTGGCCATTGCGATTTCTAGCGTGAACCAGGTGAGCAGGGGACTGCTGTTGACATATTGCTTCATTCTTTGACTTCAGCTTGGGCACCTGTCACTGCTAATGGAGCTGGATGTAGAGGTGCGCTCAGAAGTCTGTTACTGGCTTTGCTAATTCAGCAAGCTGGGAATTTTGGTGATTGGATGAAGGTGATGCGACTCACAGGGTTAGGCATCAAATGCTCCAGCCCAAAGCTGTTGCGATGTCAGTGTTCAACCGAAGCTGGCACACTTGCAGATCGCCGGTGCAAACAGTCGCAGTAGTAATTGTCAGCCTGACAACATGCAGTGCGCAGGTGGTAGCCATAGGAGGTGGGGCAGGTTTCCTCATCGTTCCTGACAGTGAGGGGTATCTGCTGGCGATGGTTACCAAGGTACACTGTTCTCTGAAATGGTTGCCCTTGCGCAGTTACAATGCCAGCTGTCATCACCAGTTTCTAGTGCCTTCCTGGAACGGCCCTGCTTGCTGCCTGTTTGCTCGGAGCCCCAGGCGTGTTGGCTTCGACGCAGTTGGGTGGTCTGCACTTCATTGTGCAAGCAGTCGTTGCCAATGGACCCTGCAGTCAAGTGACATGATGCAGTTGTGGGGAGCATTCAGTCAGGCACTGCTGGGAATGGACAAGTACATTCCCAGATACAGAGTCAGCATTTACTGATTTGATGACCTGTAGTGACACATACACCTAAGCAATGCTCCCCATCCATTGGAATGTGTTTGAATTCTCATCCTGTTCAACCCCAGCCCCCTGCGCCCTGCCTTTTTAAGTCAGCCCATACCCCTCTGCTCTGTACCTTAAACCAGGAGGACCGGATGCCACTACTTGGGTGCTTGGCCCAATCCATGCTTATTACGATTGTCCTAGTTGCAAAGGTTGTCAGCATCCTTGGCACAGCCACAGTGCGGCATATTTGTGTCCCTTGGCAGTGATACATGATCATCGCTAACACCATCCACTGCCACTTCCTTCAGCTGTTTCCACACCTTCGAGTCCTCTTTATTGTTCGGTTGACTTCTGCCTGTTGGGCAATCAAGGTGGAAAACCCTTGCTTAGTATACCAAAAGTTGACATATATCCCAACATCTGGGAGCCAATGCAGGGGCTTGCGATGGTGTGCTGCAACGAGTTTCTTGCAGACCTGTTGTGCTGGCCCACTCTAACAACTCTTTTCAGACATCTGCAGAGCTGCTCGCCCTTGTGGCAATGATATTGTTGTAGCTCCTTCGGCGCCCTGGTGGCTGCATTTTATGCTGTGCAAGTGACCCAGAGATTGTAAAGGAAGTTCTGAACTGGCATGGGTGCACTTGTGTCTCTGGTTCAAACTGGCTTGAAGCTGCCACGCCCAGCAGGTTGTTCTTCTACACACGATCTGTTAGTGCTTTGCTCAGGCGATCCTGAGATAGAAAGTCAGTATCCCAAAGGCAGCATGCACTGCAGGGCAACAAGGATATAGAAGGATACTTGTTGCAGGGAATCCCAACTGATATAGACTTAGACACTCCAGCACGTGTATCTCCTAAGGCACACCATGTGGGTGGGAAATGGTCAAGATTCTGCCTGCACTCTGTCCTATTTTCCAGAGGTCACCTCTAGACAGCAACACTAGCAGTTTTTCCTGCTGATATTCTCCTGTCGCGATGGAACTATCAATCCCCTCTGCTTCACTCGTGTCTGCCTGTTTTGATTGGAAGAGAATGTCCCTGGAGCATGCTTGTTGTTATTGGCAGGTACAGCACGATGCAAGCCTGTCTATTCACAGTGGCAGGCCCTTGAAGGCTGTCAACGTGATCTCCAATCCCTGCACAAGCACGCCAGTCCATCCTGCACTCACCTATCTCGACTTGGCCAGCAATGCCCTCCTCAATATCACTCACAACACCAGATTCTGGACAAGTCCCCATGGACGGCTCCGGCTCAGTGAACCCCGGCCACTGCCTGACTATGGACCACAAGCTGCCTGACTTGCGCCTTCCTCCTGCAGGGACACTGTTTGCCCTCCCCATAGCTGTCCAAACGGGCTTCAGGGCCTCTGAGTACTGACCCAACACCCCATGATCCTGAGCATCACCAACAGCACTGGGCTCTGGACATGTACACTTGTGGGTGCATACCACATGCGGTTCTGTGGAGGCTGCCTGGCTGCTGCCTCGTGTCCGCCATGCCCGTTGGATCTTGGTTGCCATTGTGTTGGCCTTCCAGCGGTAGGGGAGGAACCAGTGCCGGACACAAGCGCCCCTCCATGCAGATTGAATCAGCACCGCTGCTGATTCCATGGCGCTCTGCTGTTTTGAGGCTCTCCGTTTGAGTGCGAATTCCTGTGTCCAGTGGTGCACAATGCCAATTGTCTGAGTGGGAAGTTGACTGGGTTCAGCACATATTGCTGTTGAAATAGCAGTTTGGTTTTGGACTCTAGGGTATCTCTTCAGGGTATTTCAGTGGACGGGAATGTTGGAGCAATGCACACACAAATATGTAGAAACTGGTGGGCCAACCATTTGGTGAATCATCAAGATGTTGCCAGACAAAGCTGAGTAACATGGCTCCTGCAGCAGGCCTGATGATTTGGAGGTTGCTGATGCTTTCTATTTGCAAATAGTGGTGTGCTGCTACCAGAATGCAGAGCTCCAACATGCACTTGTTAACATAGCTGCGAGAGAACAGAATGCACAGCTTGCACTAAGTTGTAACTTTCCTAAACGCAGGTGAAACTAAACTGTGAACTTGTGGCTCACAGCCAGAACAAGAAAACCTCACAGGTCTCTAAGAGCACCACATGAGCCCTTGCTGGCGCAGCGTAGGAACTCTGGCATCATGTTTGAAATCGTGGTGGGGGACCGAGCCAAAACCTTGGATGGCCTCATTGCAGGATCCGTTTCACGCACGATGGCTCTGCGATGGTCAATGCGTTCCTATGTTCCTTTCACAGCCTTGGCCAACTAACCTGCAGCTTTCTAACACATCTCTGCGCCGCAGGGATGCCCACACTCCATCTTTTTGAATTCAGGCAATCTGACATCGTTGTGACAACATTATAAACGGCTCGAATTCCTGCCTTCAGGGTCTGGATGATGTCCCTCCCGGCCACACAATCGCTGTGGTACATAGAGAGATGCTATTTTCAATCTGGGCCCGCCAATCCAGGCAGTTGGAGGATGAAATTGTTGGGAGCAACTGAGAGCAGCAAGATGCTCATTGTAGCATATTTTGCACAGGCAACAGTTCAAGCTGCCCCAGACCATTCCAAACATTTTCAAGAGGAGTACACCTCGGGGAGAATGTTCAGAGCACAAAAGGTGGAGGTTGCCAGGGTACACCAAGCTAAGTGTCATTTCGCATTTGCCTTTATGGATGAATGTCCAGTCTGGATGGTGCTGACACTTTCGTAACTGAAAAGTAAACTGCAAATGGAGATTTGGGCTTTGTGACCTTATCTCAATCAGGGTCAAATCCACACAAACTCAGTGATAATGCAACAGCGTATGCAGGTATAAGCATGTCATTAACACTGACAGGAGAAGTTGAAAGGAGCTATACCCATCAAGATTGTTGCACAAGCAGGATCAGGTGCAGTGCTCTGTCGTACCCTAAGTCGGTTAGGGTGCATCCTGTCAATTGCCCCATGTCAACACAAGAAAGGCTGTCCACCAGGGAAGCAGGAGGTGTTGAAAAACTGCGATTGTGCCCGCATCTGATGGAGGAAAGCAACCCTTCGATTTCGTGAGGGTCTGCATCCATGTCCTGGAGACAGTTAGCAAATGATTCAGGTAGGTTCGGTATCCACTGCAAATACATTAGCTGGCTAGTAATGTGCCAAACACGGAGCTGGCTATCACTGAACCTCAGTGTCGATGGACAACATGACATTACAGCATTATGCAGTTGCGTGTGCTTGGTGCTAATGATGTTAGCCACCAGGCCAAGCACAAAGCCAACAGCAAAGTGGCCACATCGCTTGTATGGATTTCAGTTTGATTACACCTGCTTTTTAGGGGCCAAGCACTGCCCTTCCACCTGTCAGCTGTTGTTATGCACGTGCCGCCTACATAAAAGTTCCCTAAAGACTCATGGCCCCTGACAAAAGACTACTGGTGGCAGTGTGGTGGCAGCACAACATGTGCTATCCATCCAGTTAGTGTGTGCAACTGGTGCCCAGCATTGGAGGAATGGCAACCAAACCCCACCTTCATGATCTCAGACTTCCTAGTCCTGCAGATTCTCCTGCCAACCTCCAGCTCTTCGATCTGCCCCAACAAGGATTGCCGCAGTCGCTGCAGCATCTCTTTGCCGTCTTGTTCTGCTGGGAAGCCATTAGACAGACACCCTTCCACGAATGTGTCGACGTTCAGCGTGTCAGCCAGCCTGCTCCCAGTGACGCACCCTCTCCAGGTCTCTGCCAAGTCCCCCGGCTCTGCGCTGGAGCCTAGCACAAGCACCACGCCGAATCAGTAGGACAGGACACAAATGTCAATGCACATAGACTGTTGTTTCAGTCCGCTTGTTTGTTTGTGAATCCATGGAATTTCGTCGTCCACAAACCCAACAGCAGCTTGAGCAGAGAAACACTTCAGATCCAGAACCAAAAACGCGCATGCTCCACAGGTGCCAAGGCGAGCAAGTCATTGGAAGAGAATAGGTCCGAACTGGAGTCATCGTCAAGGAGTCGTCTCACATTTTCCTTTATGCGGAGTGAACAAGAACACGCCAACACGCCAGTGTTGCTGCTCGCCGAGTACCTGAGGGATGATTGACGGCAGCCTCCCACTGACCCGCCGCCTGGCCTCCGGAAGCCGCGACAAAAGCTGCTGAAATGGAACACAGCACCGCACCCAAATCCCTACATGCGTTGTTCTTGAGCCCGATCACCTGCACCGGCCACCACGCGTGTTTTCCGATCACCTCCCACCGACACCACAGTCGCAGAGGCAGGGTGGCGGAGCCAGTTGCTCCAAAATGGCAAGGTCAACGCTCGTCTCAAAGCCGCACATACCGATTTCACGAGCACCGGTACTGATGGCAATCATTTGGTCGGGCTCCGCACAAACGGCTGCTCTCAGAACTGCAGAGGGTGCCAATCAAAGGTCCGGGCCACCGGCGCAAAAGGGAGCAGATTGGCCGGGATGCCAACGCCTGACCAATGTGGCAGTGGGGCCGAATGTGTGAGGGCCGTCGCACCGCGCCGAGGTCGTCGCTGTAGAGGCGCCTGTGGATGAGACCCAGCTTCTGGTATATCTCGCGCAGGTTGCGATGCCGCCTGGGGGGCACGCGGACGCGCGTGTTGGTGTCCAAGTAGACGCAAGAGCATGAGGCCGCGCCGCCCTCCTCGGCCACCTCTCGGAACCGTTTGGGCATTGCGCCGCAGGTGCGTCGACGCTTGTCGGAACCAGGGGCCAGGGAAGCTGCGGCGGCGTACACATAAAGTCGGGCGCCGTGGCAGAAGAAGTACGGCGGGCTGGCCGTCGGTCCCTCCTTGCAGCGTGAGCTTACTCAACGCATCGCCCGATTGTCTGAGAGTAGGCGCCCGGTACTCGAAGCAGGGGGACCGCAGTTTATCATTTTCGGTGAGCTTAGCGTCAGATTGACGCCAAGCTGAGAACACCCCTTGTTGTTAAAAAAAGGAAAGAAAAAAGAAAAATGTATGTTGGACTTGGAACGGGACGTATAGGGTCGTCCGGGGTTGCCGGGAGCTTTTCTTTTGGGACATTGTTGGGTGTTGAACATCGGATGGCTAGGTCTTGGGTGTATGGCCAGGTCCTTGGAGGCCTTACATTACACTTGACATTTCGCACATTCTTTACCTTCCATGCAGGCCCCCCGAGTGCATGTTCTTCTTGCCTATGACTCGCTTGTGTTGTGTGCTCATCTTTGCTTCGGAGGCTCTATATCATCTTTTCATGGAATGGAACAGAATCTCACATACACTTGCCTAGGAGGGGGTGCCCTTTGTATGACCTGTTTCACTTTCTCTTTTGTAACAAATCTTACCTCTTGTTGTTACCTTTCGCTGATATCCTTTGACTACATTTGTCACATGAGCATGACAAAACACTACCCTTTGTTGCCTTTCGCCTTGCTTGTGCTATTTGCTCGTTATCTTGCATTGCGAGACTCTACATCGTCTTTTCACAGCAAGGAAAAGTGTCTCACGCGCACTTGCCAAGGAGGGGTTTAACCCCTCCTCAACAGGAGGGCACCGTGTCCGTGCGTAACTTGTTTTCTCTTGTACAGTAATCAATCTTCTCCCATCCAACCCCAAGCCCCGCTTCCTAGCGCCCAGTTTATGCCCATTACAGTGTGACTCAGCATGGCTGCCCAACAATGCACTGCAACGTCGAGGACTCTTCAAGGAAGGCAAACAGCCACCATTGCGGTGAATACAGAGGGTTAGAAAATGGGATGCTTGAAGGGAAGGTGGTGCGGGTCCTTAGCGCGGACCACGTGGGGGTTGCGCGAGAGGAACACCCTCGGAAACCCAAAAGCGAGACGTTCCGCGGTGTGCTCTGTGCACACTTATACCTCATGTATCGCATATAATGAAATGTATAATGTACAAGTTGTAATGTATTATTATCCCAATGTACTACTGGCCCACATAAAGCATGGGAGAGTTCGATTGCTGCTCCCAGCGAATTGCTTTTCCACCTTCCATGCCAAAAAGTCGCTGTCGTTCTCTGCCATTGCTACAAAGGCTCCCCCGTCCGCCCTTGCCAACTGCAGGGTCCGCAGCATCCGCGGGCGTTCTGTCCCCTTCTCGCCTCCGGCCATGCCATCGTCGAGCAGGCCGCTGTGAGATTTCCCCGACGCATTTGCTGCCCCTTCAACCGCAGGGGATTCAGCGCATGGCCAAAGGCAGCCCTCTCTGGATCACAATCGTCTCGCGACCGCGCTCCGCGACTGGCCCGCCGCTGTGATCACGCCTTTGCAGACAGGAGGGAGCCGCCCCCTGGGGCCCGTGGGGGCATCGCGCCCGAGCGATGAAGCGTATCAAGAAGAAGGTCGTCGCCAACCAGCCAGCGCGGCAGCTGGCGGAGGGCCCTGGGCCCCGGCTGCCCGTGGCGCCCCGCCTGGTTGCGCACTCGGGAATACCCAGCACGGCGGATGCGCTGGCCTACGAGGCCGTTCAAAGGCTGCTTGCGGTGCGTGCAGGGTGGCCCGGGTGCGCGCGGCTGGCCTTTCGCTCATTCTGGTCCTTTCCCTGTGCCTTTGCTCATCGTGACTTCGGAGCCTGCCACCAGCCCCTGCCTTGGCATCGGCTTCTAAACATCTCGCGAACAGTTTTGGTGCCACCCATGGGTTGGTTTCCGTGTGGGATGCTGCCATGGCCAGAATGGCCTGTGGAGCTGTCTGGATTGATAGGCGCTCCCATTTGCGAAACATCTCATGGGCACTTTCGACCTCCATGGCCTGTGAATGCACAACAGAATCACGGCACCGTCTGAAGCTTTGCCAAGTCGTGCACTTGCTGCGGAAAAAATGTTCCTACTCTTCCAGCATCCATGACAGACTCTGCAATGGGCACAAAGAATGGACATGTCATGGACAGTTCATTATCTTTGTGGTTACTTTTTTTTGGCCATCATTTGGTGCAGTGCCTCACATCGTCCTAACTTGGTGGTTGAGAGGTGGTGTGCTCATTGATGGTTGCATAGTATTCTTTTTGTTTTCTTGCTGCTGTGAAGATGTGGCAATCTGCAGAACACCTAGAGGCTATGTGTTGAAGGTCATAATGCAGCATTAGGCAACCTCACTTTTATTTGGGTCAAGAGGAATAGTTGGCTGTGATGGAACCTACACACTACTGGATAGCCTCATGAACGATGTTAATCGCCAAAGAGTGGTGTTTCCATTTGTACCTGCACGCTTTTTTGTTGCCTCACTGCCTCACTGCCTTTGGTGTGCACTTGGTGCATTGGCCAGGTCGGCACACTTGATGGGCGTATCAAACTCCTGGGTGGTTCTGGGGTGGAGAGTCTGCTATTTTGTAAGGATAGGCAGCCCACCCAGCAGCTGTTGTTTCTCACCAATCGCGGAGGCCTGTTGAGGCTGTCCAAGGTGAATTTCCTGATGGCCATCGGCGTTGTTGAAAAAGAGTAAAATTAGGTGTTGGTGCGCTCGCACAAGATACAGAACTTGACAGTGGTCTTGATTTTGAATTGTGCTAATGCGATTTGTGGAACACCCTGGAGTGTTGGATTTTTCCATTTCTGAGTTTTTGTGGCTGCCATCTTGAATGCGGTGTCAAAATATGACATTTGTATCACACTTTGACACTATGTTCAAGATGGCAGCCACAAACACTCAGAAATGGAAAAGTCCAACACTTCAGGGTGTTCCACAAATCGCATAAACACTAATGTAAACATTCAAAATGAAAAGCACACAGTGTAAAGCACAAAACAAGTTGGGCAGTTCATGTCTGTCAAAGTAGATGCCAGACAGTGTGCACAAGGGCACTGTTCTACTGCAGATCTTTTGTATCGCTAGTGTTTCAACACCCCGATAGTGTTATTTGTTATTGTCTTGGTTGTTGCATATCACTGCAACAACACCATGAATAGTGTCACTATTTGGTTTATCATCAGAACAGCCTCACAGTAGACAGTTGTATTGTACAGTTGTTGGTGCATAGGTCTCTGTTAAAGTTGGTGGTATTGCACTGAATTAATGCTGCAGCATCTTGAACCCTGTGGACAAAAATCTACTTTCACAGTCCCTGCGCACAAAGGGGATGCCATTTGCTTGACTGGTTTCCTATCTGTTGGAAAGGACGTTCTTTGATCAATGGACTCTGTGCTCATATTATTGTTGAAAGTGCTGCAGCGTGTTTCCATTCCATTTCAGCTTCTTCCCTTGCTGAAAAGGATCAGTGCAGAAACAACGGCCACCAAAATACACGATTAAGAAGAAACTGGCTGCATGGTCACCTGCTGCACAGACAGTCTGTATTGTGGCTGCATCAAATTATCATCGGCACTTGTCCTCAAATGCCATCCAACTGTATTGAGCAGATTCTTGCGACTTTGCTGTGAATTGATTGTGTGTGACTCAAGGGTGCCTATTGTACTCTGTTCCAAGTCATAGTAACTGAAAGGCTAATCTCGTTACGGAAACACCCTCTGGATCACAAAAGGAGGTCCGAGTCGGACATTTATGTGAACTTATGCATGCATTCGGAGGAGGACCTTCTGCTCTTTTCACCAGCATGATTGGGACACTGACTGCATGCTGCAGTTGGGCAGCATTGAGCTGTGGAGCCTTTGCAGTGGCAGGCCACTGGGGAGCATCGACCTGGACGATGAGGGTGGCGCCTCTTGTATTTGTGCAATGCCCAGAGAGCCCTATTTGCTGATAGGTTGCAAGAATGGGGATCTCCGATTCGGGCGCTTCCTGGATAGCAGTGGGGAGCCCATCAATGAGGGAAGAGAAGTCATGGGCATGGACATGTTGACATACAAAGGTATGGTCTTCCCCATTGCTGTTTCCCTTGGCCATCCATTTGCATGGATGCACAAATCACACAGTCATTGATGGGCATTGCATCTTTCACTTTCGTGAGTTTCCTGTGGAGGCAGCTGAACAGGAATAATGGTGGAAAGTGCTTGGCAGTGAGTTTGATAGTGAGCAAAGGATAGTGTACCCATGTCTTAATAGGTGTATTTGGAATATTGTCATCTTCGATTGACTCATCGTCAAAGGGGTGGAAGGCAAACAGAGGTTGAACTACTGGGACAGTGGGATCCTGGACAGGATACCGAGTACTGACTGCAATCGACTCCCTGGTAAGGGGGCAAACATGAAATTCCATTGATTCCCTCCATTGACTCCTTATTAGATCCAGCGAGTGTTCTATTGACAATCAAAGCACCACGATGTTCAGTTCCCATAATTTGCCAAATCCTGTGAATAAATAGCTGAGCTGTTTTGTAAGTAATTGATTCATAGTTCTTGAAGCGTTCTGTCAGTGGTCATGGGATGGCCATGACAAAATTTCCTGTTGGATGGTGACCTTTGTGTTGGTAATGTTTCCTATTTGGCTGTCACTCCACAGCAAAAAAATGATGCTTTCCAAAATAGGTGAATGGTGCCGGTGTATTTGATATATAGAGTTACCCAGGATGCCACTTGTGCGATCTTTGAAAAAGTTGACTGAGCTCGTTAACTTGCAACAGTGTCAAGACTCAAGTTCAAAGCTGTTGGGGAAATGATCAACATAAGCGTGGCACCCTCTGACGAGGACCCTTTGTTGCTTGCTCTACATTCTGGGTCTGGGGCAACCATATGGGACATGAGGTATGCACCACACGTGTCAGGGGACCAGGCTGCGAAGGGGGGGGGGGGGGGGGGGGGAGAACCAGCTTTTGATCACATGAGGTGCACTGCCTTTTCATATTTGTGGCTCTTGTGGAAGCAGCTAGTTTCTGCACGTTCTGTGTCCTTTATGCTCAGTATTCCAGATAATCAATGAAAAACTGACTGTTTGGGCACTCTTTGAGTGTTCAGGATTGTGCGGCAGGCCTGTGCTCATGCAGCAGTCGACAGCACTGCCATAGATACAGGTGCAGGGCTTAGGATGCCTCTCCCTGATATGCCATTGTCAACCCAGCAGTCAAATCTGGTTGACAATGTTAATTGGAATGGGAAGGTTGGTACTGTCAATACTTCGGCCAGGTGGACAGGGGATGTGTTATGTTATCAACACCAAGAATGGTGGCAATTTTTAAAGAAATTACATGAAACACCCCCTGTCTGACTGGTTGAAATCATAACGCTGCCGTTGTTGGAACTTGCTTTGCCCAGTGATATGCTTACACCCTCCATGAATGAAGCTGCAGTTCTTGGCAGGCTTCCTCCATTTGAGGATTGCAACATTGCGCTGGGAGCTTGAAAACAGTGTAGCAACAGGAAGACACTGAAAATAGTGCGGGACACACCATGCGGCTGTGATGTTTATTCGGTCGCTTCTTTTCATGTTCCTTGTGTTCATTTCTGGTGTCCATTTTTTGAGCCTTTAGCATTCTTGAGCCCTTGACTGAGTGCGCCACTTGGGACCTGTTGTTTGCGGCTGGCTGTGTTCTCAATACACAACAAGCTCCTTCCCTGTGCTGTGTGGGTGGCAGAGCACAACGACCCATCATTCGGGTGGTGCAAGCAAAAGGTGCAGACACCCTTCTCGCAAGGGCTGGACCACTGACGACAGCCTGCTGGGTCACAGCACAGCACTGCCCATCCCTCTTTGCCACAGGCCATGAGTCTGGGGACATTCTTGTCTGGTCCATCCCAGAGCCCTCGATGAGGGTATTTGGGGGTGCTCCTCAGCTTGTGGCTCACCTGCGAGTGGCCCTTGGGTCAGCCACTGCACGACCCATTATGGGATTGAGCTTTGTGTCTGGCCCACAAGGCTCCCTGGTGGTTTTTGGGGGCCAGTCCAAAGAGCAGCCAGACACACTCACACTCATTCAACTGCCGAGGCAGTTGTCCCCCCAACAGGAGAGCACCGATGGGACTGATGTGGAATGCACTGAGGGTGGGATCAGCATGCCATGGTCTGGGAACATCTGTGGGTGGGGGTGGGCATTAGTTCCACCTGAAGGGTCCCTGCATGGGAATGACGACCCTGCGGCCATCCTGATCTTAACAGAAGGCGGGCACCTCGTGCTGCAGGACCTGCAGACCTTCAACCCCATTGCCTTTACACTGCCATTGCAGAGCCTGCCGCCAGTGACAGTGACTGTGTTGACTGAGATGCCAGGACTGGCGACCAGCTGCAGCACTGGGATTCCTGAATTGAGGCATCTGCCGAATGCCCTGGCATCTGGGGCAGAATTCGGGGGTGTGCTGCACCCAGACTGGGATTGGGTGATCTCTGGGGGAGATGCTCCAGACAGCTCAGAATGGTCCTTTGCTAGCAGCCCTGTGTATCTGTCTGCACATGAAGATGGCAGGATAAGATTTTGGGATCTCTTTGGGGAGGCACCGGAATGGCTAGCGACTGTGCCATCTGCCCATGTTGAGAAGGAGCTTTCCTGGCAGTACAAAGGGGTGTCTGCAATGAAGATGTCATCAAGTGGGGATCTACTGGCTGTTGGCCATGTTGATGGGGAGGTTGAGGTGTATCAGTTCTGTGGAATCAAGCGACGTGTGGGGGTGAGAATGTGCAGCAGCAAAGCCATTGAGGATCAGGACACTGTGGAATTGGAACAGCCGCCAGGATACCAATTGATGTTGCGTGTCGATGCTCACACAACCGCCATAACCTGTCTGTCGTTTGAGGGCAGCTGCAGTCTACTTGCTGTTGGGGATGACAGTGGTCATGTATCTGTGGTTGACATGGCTGCCCCCAGGGTTGGGTTTCTGCTGCAGCTGTCTGAGTGTGGATTGCATGCTGTGGCATTTGGTGAGGGACCTTGGTCACAGGATTCTGAACGGTGCCAGCTGGGGATGGTTCTGTATGTGGTGGATGCGGAGTCTTCTCTTGCGGCCATCGATCTGGAAAATGGGCAACTTGTTGGCCACAAGGGCTGGCTGAGGCCCAAGAATGCCAGCAAGGTGTTGTGTCTGTCATTGCTGGATGTAGGTGCCAGGCCAGTCGCTCCTTCCACAGGTCGCGTGGTCATTCCATGGCTGCTGCATCCCAAGCAGAGCAAGGACTGTGTTGAGAGCCTGGATGCGCACACTGCAACGAGTCAGGAAAATGAAAGTGCAACAGGTCAGTCAGGAGGCGCCTCAGAAAGACTTCCACAGGCGAAAACTGACACGTGAGTTGCTACTGGTGTACACAGTTGCTGCCATCTTTCAGAAGGACGGTGGACTTCCTTATTGCTGCACAGTTGCCAAACCTGTATGCGTTGTCCTGTGGCACGCTGGAGGCATGCTGCTGAATCTGTTAACCCACCCTGTAGCTGCCTGCTGAAGCTTGTCCCATTTGCTGTGCCAGGCCGCTTGGTGAAGGGGATGGGATCGGCAGCAACTGCCAGGACGGCCAGCAATCAGAAGATGAAAATGTTGATCCTCCTCCTGATGAGGACGATGACGAGACAGGGGACATTCTTGCTGCAGCTGTTGCAAAGCTTCAGGTGGAGGAGAAAATGCAGCACCAGCATCAGGCCAGTCAGTCGTGGCTGGGGCAAAAGATCGTGGGCAATATAGGGAAGGGAGTGGCAGGCATGGGCAAAGGAGTCGCAGATGTCAAAAGGAAAGTTATTCGCAAAGGGAAAGCTGGAGTTCCAGGTCAGAAGGCTATGACCCAAGCGCCACCTGCAGGTTCCCAGTCAATGGCAGCAGCATCTAGTTCAGGACAAGATAGACGTGTCCAAAGTTTACGAATTTCGTGCCAGGAGGATGGGGAGTCCCCACGAATGGAAGTTGAGATTCTGCCACCAGAGACGGATGCTGCAGAAGTGCCCCAAGAAGCCCTCACAACTGGTATGATGCCCAGATTGGGAGTGAAAAGAGCAGCTGCAAGGCTTTCAGTGAGACTCTCATGTTCCCTATCAATGCATCCCACAATCCAAGGTGCAAATTTGCAGATGGCAAGTCCAAGTGCAGGGCTGTGCTGCTGGAATTGTGCACTTCAAGAATAATCAAGAATACATTGAGATATTCCAAGAGATGCTGATGTGCCTGTGCACAGCAAAGCACGTTTTCATGTGTAGTTTGATTCTGGCTTCTCTTCGTCTGCAGCTGATGATGAGAGTGCTGAGGTCGTCGAAGCTACCGTGGGCTATGTGCTCATCGCGACAGACCAGTACCTAAGACTGTACTCACCAGATGCCATCGTTTCTGGGGAACGAACCACTATTAACAGAACCACATTTTCCACGCCCATCATCTTTGCAGCCTCTTGTGAGACTCAAGAATTGGGTGCCGGTGGAGTAGTGTGCATTACCCAGGATTACAGTATACAGGTGGGAATGAATTGCATAGGGAAATTGGGCCTTGGGGCCGTTTGATTGCCATTGCCAGGAAGTGCCTTTGGTTGTAATCCTTTGCCAGCATTTAAGGGTACTGATATGCTGAAAAATCAATTGAAGGTGCTCATGCACCTTCGTGGCAAGTGTGGGGACAACAGTGTCCACGTTGTTTGTTTCAGTACTTGCTTCACTTTCCCGCTCCTTGAGTGGCTTGCTCAGCTGCTGCCATCGGAAATCCACATCTCGCAGTGGTTGCTGACTAGAAGACAGGTCAGGAAGGGGCCAGCCCCTTTCCGACCTACAATTGTGGCATTTATTTTGAAACCAGAGATAATTTCAATGCCCACCAGCACAAAGAGACAGAGCTCTGTTCACAACAATGTGCTGTATCACTCAGGTGTATAATCTTCCCAACCTTGACCTGTGCTACGAGATAGATATCTTGGATGTCCTGGGATGGAGCTGGAACTGCTTTGCATTGCAAGACCACGGCACAAAATTTGCGGCAGGCCAGGATGGAAACCTTGCATTTGTGTCCTCTTGTGGCGAGCTTGTGAGGATAGCCTTGTTCGGCGAAGGGGCGCCATCTGTGCTGGCCCCGAAGCAGGTGTACGACTGGGAGCTTGCTGCAGCTGTGCATTACGCCAGGAATGCTTCCCAGCAGCGGGCGGATCGCATGGAGGCCTCCAAGTGCTCTGGCACTGGTGATAAATCTACTGGTACGCTGTGCAGGTCACAAGTCAGATTCTTTCCAATGGCTCATTTAACACACGCTAGTTTAGGATCACTTTGAAGGCGCTGAATTGGTGTGGTCAAAAAGGCGGCACTTGTTGAGAATTGCACACACACTCTCAGCACATGCAGACATGCACGTCTGCATTCACTGCTGAATGGTGACACTAATGTCCAGCAATCCGCCAATCCCAGTTTGCCACTCTAACGGAGGATGTGTGAGGTGCATTGTGAGCTGTTCTGGCTGGCAGTAATCTGTGGGCCTATGGGCTGCATCGCTGCTTCGGAAAAGCAAACCCAATGCCTAGGCAGAGAAGCTCGCTGTAGCTCCAACCATGGGAATAGTGGCTATTGTGCTCGTTAATGCACAAACCAATCTCCCACCTGCCCGAGTCGGAACATATTAGTCTGATGTCAGTGAATTTGAAAGTCCAGTTTTGGTACAGCATTTCTTTGCAGGGTCGCCATGTGCAATGCCTTCAACTGCTGCATTGCGTATGGGGCAGTTCAGTATTTTTTTTGGTTCTGAGCATTCGCCAGGCCAGGGGAGTTTGGGCCATCTTTACGCTGTGAGCAATGAGTCCTTTAGGGATAGGATCGCATGTCAGATGGCGGTCCTACTGCAATGATCAGCAGGATGATATTGTCTGTCAGTGCAGTCAGCATGTGTATTGCAAGCCAGAAATTGGTCAATCAATGTAACGCCCCAGCAAGGCTAACTGTTGCCTTTGTGGAGTTTGTCTGATGGCATCCTTCACAGGAACCCAGGGTTGCCGCCCACCACCACTTGAATTCCGCAAATCAGTGTCCTGATTCAGACATGACGCAGGCACACATAACTGCAGTGTCAAATATGCTCAGGTGTGTCTTTAGCAGGTATGATGCAGGCCGCCTCCCTTGGACAGGAGTTCAGAAAGGGGCTTGATGTGCTCGTGAGCGCTGCAAAGCATGCCACAGGCGAGTTGAACAAGGCTGTGGGCACGATGGCGAAGGGTGCAGGCGGAGAGGCGCCTCCAGATCTTCCCACCCTCTTTCACTCCCAGCATTCTCGCCCACATGAGGCAGCAGCCGAACACAGGTGCTTGCTCCAAACTTTGTTTTCTGATGGGCTCCAGCAAACGGCATCATGTAAATCGTGGACTGTATTGTTCTGTGGGTCGCTTGTACCTGCCGTACATGTATATATTGGTGTGTTGATGGAAACAGAATCGTTGCATCTACGAAATGAGTATTAGGTAGTTGATGGCTGCTTTCACAGAGGACCACGTTGGCCATGAACAGAAACCGTGCCATCATTTTTGTTTATCTGTGAACTGTTATTTGCATCTTTTTGTGTAACAGTCGAACGTCTGCAGGCATAGACCACAAGACCAAGAAGAAATCATCTACAAGCAAAGTTTTATATATTTACGACAATGTGTGCAAGGGTGGTGATTTGTCATAGTCTGAACCGTATGACCGTATGACCGTATGACCGTGGTGACGAGTTATGATGTGAATTCTGCCACCGCTATTCACAGAGCTCTATCAGCGCAAGTTCTCGACTTGCACCATGATTGCCAAGATCATAGGCTCGAAGAAGCCAGCTGCTCTGCAAAGCGACCAACAGCGATGAACAATAGATGCCCATTCTCTTCGTTCCAATCCAAGGCAGTATCTCAGTTGTGAAGTCTCCGCACAGCTACTTGCACTTCTATTGGCATTAGCTGACGGGTGCGCCCAAAATTAATTCCACTGCCCTTATCGCCATGCAACCAAACCAAAACGTGCTTGCAATGAACATCGTTGATTGTGATCATCGATTCCCACATGACATGGACTTAGCTGAATTCGGGACCTGCGTTCATGTTTCTTGGTGCAGCGGGCACAGGGAATTCGATTCGACCAGCGGCGGTGAATCGTCATCGGCAGCCGCGATGGCGGCCGTGGCGGGGAATTCTGCCACGGCACCCAACAGAGCTGACCTATTTCAGGGTGCTCATGGCTTTTCGAATCCTTCCACAGAGCCCAGGCTACGAACTGCGGATGAGATCAAGGCAGCATACGGAAGGGCAAGGACACCTGCAAGGTAGCGAATCGCTCATTCCAGACGCTGGATGACGCTTTTGTGCGATGAATGGTGTAGAAAATGTTACCAAGTGTGACTGAAAGCGACAGTGGTAGCTGCAGTGACACTGGCTGCGATAGCAATTGGCCTGCGGTAGCAAAAGAAAGGTATGTCATGCAGTGTCCATTCATATCTGTTCAACGACAGCCAGGGCGCAGGCGTGTTGCTGCTGGTCAGAAATTTTACTGTGCTCTCCATGCACAAAGCCACCAATAGCACTGGCGTCACCTGAAGTTAGTACCAAAACTGAATTCCTGCTAAGACTCACCATGTGACGAAGTATCGCTCTTGCACCATGATGGCGGTGATGGAGACTGGGGTGACTTGAATGTTGCCGTATCTTTCGTGGTGGTGTCTCACCAGACGAATAGCGCGAAGCGCAGACGACTTGCCTACGCTACCACGCGTCCCTCTTTGCTGCACGGCGGGCTCTTTATTGGAAACAGCGCTCTTGTCACCGACATTCGTTGTTAACGCTCAACCATTGCGTCGCCGCACCTCCGTCCTTGCAGAGAGACGACCAAGAGCATCATGCAGGAAAACATGTCGCGCTTGCATGAGCGTGGCGAGAAGTTGAGGGGCCTCGAAGAGAGAACGGCGGACCTTGAGAACGATGCACGAGGATTTGCGTCCATGGCCAAAGAGCTGGTGGAAAAGCAGAAAAGGAGGCGCTGGTGGCAGCTTTAGGGGAGGAGGCACGCGCCAGCGGGACAAGGGGCGGCTGGTTGCTGTTGCTGGTGGTGCCTACATTAGGTTTTCGGACGCTTCCTGTAACTTAACCTTTGCAACTGTAATCGCCGGGAGACGAATGGGCCCCGAGTGCTGCAGGATCCTGATGGGGCGCTCTCGTGACCACACAGGGTTAACTTTGGGAGCTGGTGCAGGAATTGGCCCCTCAGCAATGTGGCGAAAGTCGGCCCGCTATCATGACGAGAGCTTCTGCAGAGAATCTACCAACCCAGGGCAGCGGCTACCGGGCAAGCCGCTGCTACTCTGGGACTTGCTTGCACAAGTGTTCTGTGACCAAACTTGCGTGCTTGGTCTGACGGTGCTGTTACTGGTGCCATGGAGCAGGTCACACCCGCCGAGCATGGATGCGGAGAACGCTCGTTGCTGATATTATACCCACAGGCCACGAGGCAGGCAGTGTGTGCACAATATGGCGACAATTAAATGTACCGCCCTTTGAAACATGGCTGTCCACCGTCATCGTCTGCCCAAATCGCCAACCCCAGCTCCATTTCGCGACCCACAGGGCGACGTGAGGGCTATTTGCTCCGAGGTGTCGATGTGCTGCGGGAGGGCCTCGAAGTTCAGTTCACCTACAGCGACGCACACGTCTTAGGTGGCCCTGGGGACACCGAACACCCCACGATGTGCATTTCCACTTGATCCTCAAAATCGGACCTCACATGACTAATGTTAAAACATTCTGTTATGCACAGGCACATCTGGACAACCTTAAGCATGCACAGTGTGGCGGCAAGCCCCAGCTCGACCGTCGGCCAAGTTGGCGATGCCAATGCCAGGAAGCTGGTGGGGACAAGCGGGGACAAGCGCAGCACTGTCGTACCAATGAATCCGCAGTCAATGCACCATGCGATATGTAATTGGCAGACATTCACATTACTCACAGCAAGTGTCCCACGATTGTCCCATAGCACAATGAGCGGGTCCCGACACAAATGCACCACAATTTGGCGACCACAATATTGAAGGATCAAGATGCTCACCAAAGCTGTTGCTGCCGAGCTGAGTCTTTCAATGCGGCTATCCGTCGTTCAGCTGCCGCGGCCATCTGCTCACGCCTCCGCTGCAGGGCCTCTTCGCTGCTTGCTGCCTGGGCTTGGCTCTGGCCCCTGCCCTTCCCAGACTGCTTTCTCGATTTCCTAGAAGCTGCCATCCTGTCCACGATACAATCCCGGTTTCGAAGCAGTCACAGATGGCAGCGACTCACAGCGGCATCTTTTGGAAGCAGGTGAGCAGAGCAGGTCACTGAGCATCGTTGTTGCTACCAATAGGGATACAGAGTTACAGCAAAAACACAATGTGCAGAGAGCAGGTCGACGGCACAGATGGGCTCCACAGCGAAGGTCAGAGGTAGCACGCTTGACAATAAAACTGCTGTGTCTCTGAGTTCTACTTTAGTGGGAAGCCCCCACGCCGTGGTTTTGCCCCTTTCCGCCCTTCCTGCCAGCTGGTCTGTCATAATATATCGTGCCTGTCTGGAATCCTTACCTTGCGACTGACATGTTGTTTCAAGCGTGCGGCAACTATTGGGTCTGTCTCGTGCGTCCAACTGCTGTTCAAAGCACTACCTTAGTTTTCGCCCACAGTCGTACCCAGACTCGCCAAAAACAAGGCAGCGCCATGTCTGACAGGTGGGGGGCTCATGGAGCAAACGCCCATATCGGTTGCAAGGTGAAGCACTGGGTTGGAACACACTGAGTGCTGCATTGCATGCCTCCCTATTTTTGACGTGATGCAAAGGGCGAATGTTCGCTGCATCAGTCGTTGGCGTCGTTGTCTTTGTCGGAGCACAGCAACGTTACCCGTTGCTGGGCATCCCCTGATAACGGTAAATGCAGTTTGTCTGACCTTCCAATCCAGAAAGATCTTCGCTAGTTTCGTCCACCCACGAAATAGCCTTGCTGTCTGTCTTGCTTCATGGCCTTGCTGTCTGTCGTAAGTCTCAGCAAGCAAGTAGTGGGAAAACTGCACACCTGGCAGCTTGTTGGGCCGCCTCCGCAACGGCCTTTGCCACCTCCTCCTCAGCATTCAGCTTCGCAACGCTTTCCTCTTCCGCAGCCTTCTTCTCTTTCTGGCGCGTCTTTTGCCTTGCACGTTTCTCCGCCTGGCGAAAACAAGAATGCTCATTAGCCCCCACTATATGGCTGCGCAGACGCCATTTTGTTCTTGCTATACATATTTTGGACAGGAACAACACAGACAATTGCAGGAAACAGCAATGGCGAGACGCTCCAAGTACCAAAGCACCGCAAAGGCTGCCAAAGGTTAGGAGGTCTCATTGCCATATTTGCCATCACACAAAGTATGACACGCAGAGGAGGGGTCGACAAGTATCCGAACAAAGTAGGTGTTGGCTTGGAAGGATGGAGCTCACCTTCTTAGCCCTCCTCTCAGCTTCCATTTCTGGAGTCAAAGAAGCTGGTACACCAGCATCCTCATAATTCCATCGTTCGGGATTCTGAGCCTTGAACCTGCGAAACGTGTCCCGCACATCCTTGCTTGATGCCACCTGATACGCAGTGCATCCCAGGTGGCGAACCTCTGGATTTTCACCTGACTGCAGCAATTTCCACACCAGCCTGGCGTCCCCACACTTTGCCGCTGCATGCAGTGGAAACTCCTGGGAAGCAAGGCACCATCACATTGTTCATTTGCTAAAAATTGGCCAATCTCACATAACTCACAAAACGTCTCACAGAAGGTGCAAAGTCTCCTTCTTGTACATTATTGCCTTCTGCTACGAAATGGTTTCCGACGTCTTGCCCTTGAACGACACATGCCACACAACAAATGTCCACAAACACAATAACAGCAGCTTCAGCCCATTGTGCGCCCAGCTACCTTCTCAGATTGTTGTGCCTTCTGCCCCACACCTGCTGGCGTGTCCGAGGTGCTGGCCAGGCCAACCTGCTCCTCCTCCTGCTCACTGGAACAGACACGCTCTTCCTTGGAAACACAAATTGGAGGTGTGCCAGCAGCATCGCCTGATGGGATGTTGTAGTCACCTTTGTCTTCCACATGGCTGGACTGCGCCTCTTCCCGCTGCCCAAGGACTTCTTGCACGACAGCCAAGCGGCTAACGACCCTTTTAGCCTCAGAGAATGTCGGTCGGCGCGTGGTGAATGGAACCCT